TACAATGTTTCCTGTTCTTCAGATGTGATTATAGTAGTGAAGAACCACACACTTGCACTCATTCTGAAACCACTCAGTAGGATCAAAGTTATGGTCATCAGTATCCAGCTAAGACTCTGAAAGTGCCTAGTAGACCCAAAGTAAGCCAATTTAAATTTACATCTTTACGGTGTTGCAATAAATTTTGCTAAAAATATCATGATGCTCATAGCCTAGCTTTTTTATTATCATTTTACCATATGTTTTACCATCACATTCTTAAACAATTCATTCCCACACAGCTACCTCCTCATGTATCACTGGCCCCTCCCTTTTAGATTGTAAGCCCTCACAGGCAGGGCTCTCCTTATCATCTTGTCTTGAATTGTCTTGTAATGTCTTCCTTATATTGTAAAGCGCTGCGCAAACTGTTGGCGCTATATAAATCCAGTATAATAATAATAATTTTTTATATTATTTTTTTTTCTTTTTAAAGATTTGTATGAAAAAAAAACCCCACACTATTTGGAGGATATAATCCTGGAAAACGATCCAAGTTGTGCATGTTGTTGGGAATCCCATGTGGGCACACTGCTTATTATTAAACCTTACTCAGAATACATTATATTTTGGAATGGTATTAATCTATACAAAGGTGAAAGGTATTTACAGGAAAAGGTTACGGCAAGAAGTGTGGGAGTGATGAAGTTAATTGAATATAGCTTCATCCAAACAAAGCTAGCCACATTGTACTTCAATCTGAATCTATTATACTGGCTGTTCAAATCTCTGCATATGTACACAGCTTTGCTCATGCTGCCTCACAACATCACACACACATCTGGTGAGTCAGTACATAATCTACAACTCAGCAACTGAAACAGGGAAGTGGTTTTATCTATATCTCCATCTGGAAGAATGTTAGCTTTTTCTTTTTTTGTACCCACTTTGCACTATAAGAGTGTGACTAAATTCCTAAAGTCAACCTGTAATAGAGTGACCATTATATGCATTTCCTGACTTTACTCGGGTTATTCTGTCACTAAAGATTATATTTTAACTTCTAAGAAAAATCCTGCATAGGGCACAGTCATCTTCTTTACATTCCATTAACAGTGCTTAGGCTTGGTGATTGGCTGCTCAGACACAAGCATTGCACATGGAGCAATGGGAGCACCAGATGGTCCTCCTTACCTACACATACTGTGTACTTCTTGGGGCACCAGCATCAAATTGGATCAGCAGAGGAGAACATGGAGTTTAGATGTCTTAGCTGGCATTTGCTTTTATTTAGCAGAGATAAGACCGGTGTCCGTGATGTTTACAGAGTTCAGAAACAGACACATTCAACAAATACTAGTAAGCATAGTTATGCAATCATTGGCATAGTCCTCACAACTGCCACCTCATAATAATGATGATCACCTTTATTTCTAGTTTAATTGGCTGCTTCCTAAACTGGTTCTAAAGCATATTTATTTACATGGTTGTGGAAGACATATTTGGTATGCCACAGTTTGAATGTTGTCATGCTGTGAAAAAGTTTACATCCGCAGAAATGACAAAATACATAGAAAACCAAAATAGCCCTGTAACTGGCTTACCGAGAACTTTACAAACACACGGATATGTGGTGATGGGCACCTAATATCTACACCAAAACCAAAGTTGGCCATTACCATCATATAGTTAGCAGCATGTAGTATCATATAGTAGCATGAGCCTAAACATTCAGAATGCTGAACGATTATTCTTTTTCTAGATCAGTACAATACTGTGGGGGGAATTTATCAAAACTGGAGCAGACAAAATCTGGAGCAGCTGTGCATGGCAACCAAGCAGCTTCTCTCTTCAGTTAAGATTTGAAAATGAAAAAGAGAGAAGCCGATTGGTTGCCATGCACAGCTGCTCCAGATTTTGTCTGCTCCAGTTTTGATAAATTCCCTTCTATGTATATTAGTATTGCCTGTTGATGTACTGAGCAGGTACCCTTGCTGCTATGGGCACCAGGTAACAGTTGGCAGAATCCAAACTGGTAAACAAGTTCTCTACACAAGAATAACCAAATGACTGCCACCCTCGTAGGGTGAGAAAACCTGCTTGTCCTTCAGACTGTGATCTGCTGAAACTGGACACAACCTACATCCCTAACCAGAGGAAGAGCAGATTTGGGTCATGCAAAATGAAAGGAAATGATTGCTGGTTAATTGTACAAACATTTCCCAAATGTAAGAAATGTATAGAAGGCAATAAAGGGAGAGTCAAGATTTGGTACCACTAAGAATGTTGGGAGCTTTGCCCATCAGAATGGCCTGGTATCCAAACATAATGGCGGTGCCCGCCAACAGCTACGTCACTACAGGACGCATGGAAGTCAGGGGGAGGACACAGGAGATTGATAGTCCTGAAGTCTGTTTGGGCTTCTTAGCAGATTTCAGAGGAAGATTTATCTGTGATGGAGTGGTGTTCAGGGGTGCAGACAAATAGGAGAGGCAACTAATCACTCTCTCCTTTTGCAGGGACAGCTTTGTGGCCATTTGTTTAAACCTGATCGGGTCACTTCAAGGAGTTTATAGACATCGAAACTGTCCACAAATCTTACAGAAAGTTACAGGTCGTCTAATAACTATGGAAGCCTTCATGGTTTGTGTACTTGGGGGCTTCTCTGTGTGCCTCCGATAGATCTTTACAGCATAGGCAGAACACACCTTATGAATTCTGACGATACACTTTTTTTTTTTAGCCTACAGGAAGTCTGTTTGCGGTGTACAAGGTGGCTACTTAATGTAGCTCTGCTCAAGAGAATAGCAAATTTTCTTCTTCACCCGCATTCTAAATAAACACACATTTGGTTACTCCTATACATTTGTGCAACCAGTTTTCTGTTTCAGTCACCCAGACATCCCAACCTGCAAAACCTTATTTCAGGGAGGTGCCTGTCTCATTTCAAGGAGGTGCCCTTTCTGATTTTTGTTTTTTTTTACAGCGGCCGCCGTAAGAATATAAAAGAAATAATAATGATAATAATAATGATAATAATAATAATAATAATAATAATAATAATAATAATAATAATAATAATAATAAAACCTCTTCCAGACAGCACAGCCAGGTGCTTGACCTCCACTAAAGTATAAGCACAGCTTGTCAAGAACACAACCTCAGTCTGCTGATTAAATAATGAATGAGATTTAAAGTCATCACTCTGACCTCTCCTCATGTTCTCTGTCAGCGTGTATAAACTACAACAGAGTTTGATTGGTTGTCTAGGATGGACAAAGAGGGTCACACGCCGATAGTTTTGTGGCTGGGCTTGGGGCATGCTGCACATAGCCTGCAGGTATGACATTTAAAAGAAGCTCCATTTCTCTAAGTTGCACAATGTTTTTCAATCTACTTGGGCATCTTGACTGCATGGTAACTTCTAGTGAAAAAGTGAACTAACCCTTTAGGCTGTATCTGGGAAGCACCCTGTATATAACAGAATTAATAACATAGGCTTGCACATCTCAACCAGGGTTCCTCTAAAAGTTGATCGGAGTTCCTAGAGCAGTATTGAATTAAATTTCCAATCTACACTAATCATCAATGTTAGGGTTCACTTTTCCACTGATCCCCAAAAGGAGTCCTTCTCTACTGACCAGCAATATAAATGGGCTGTTATCCACTGACCACCAATGTAAGGGTGCACTTTTCCACTAATGTAAGGGGGCTCTTCTCCACTTACCACTAATGTAAGGGTGCTCTTCTCTACTGAAAGCCAATATAAGGGGTCTTTTCTCTAATAATCACAAATAAAAAGGTGCTCTTTTCTACTGAACACCAATATAAAGGGGCTCTTCTCCACTGGCCACCAATGTAAGGTTGCAAAGGATCACCAATGAGAGGGCCCTTCGCCACTGACCACTGATGTAAGGGGGGCCCTTCGTCACTGACCACCAATGTAAGGGGGGCCCTTCTGCACCACCAATATAAAAGAACACTACAATCTTCACGCTTTGTGGGTTTTTTTTGACAATTATTATTTTGTTTCTATTTTTGTTGGAAATAATGTTGTAGTATAGAAGAGGAAGATGTAAAACGATCATGATGGAGGTTCCCTAAGACTAAACAATTAGAAGGGCTCCCCTGTGGTACAGAGGTTGTGAAAGGCTATCACGGGCTATAATCAAACCCCAGGCAGCGTCACAAAGATCCATTTAGTGCTACACATCAGAAGTGGCATCACATGCATACGAATGACCACATTGAGCAAGGGGGATGCAGCCTGAAGGGTAGGATAGATGGAAATCACTGCCGATGCCACTGATTAGGGGCCTTTTATATTATATTGTGCTCATTACCATCACCCCATCCACGTGTATTCATGGGAATCTATATACAGATCTGGGCACCAAGGAATGCCAGGCTTTACAGCAACACATGAGACAATTGGGTGACATTGCAGTATTACACATCCAGCTACTTGCAGAGTTATCCTATACATAGCAGCTTCCAGCAGAGGCATTGCACGCTGTGATGAGTGACAGCACATTGTTAAATATGTAATGTGACCTCTCCAGCTGTCTGATGACCCCAAACAGCCAGCCTGCTCCTCACAATACACCTGCAGACAGACAGGACATTGCTGCTGACATCACATAACCGACATCACATAACCGACACAGGTCACAGGAGGGATCCTTGGCACTTACATGACTCAGTTCCCATCTACCCCATCTGCCTCTTTTGTTGGCCTGTCAGCTGTTGCTTCCTACTGCCTTGTAGAGCACATAGCATCCACAAATCCTGGCCAATAGCAGCTCGCTCTATGCAGAACTCATCGTCTTATTGGCCGATGGCTCTGTGAGGCAGCGATCATGCTCCAATAGAAGAAAGCAGCGAATGAGCTAAGGAGGGAGGGCATCTGATCAGACCGTAGCTGCACTCTATTGGCTGGTGGCAGCTTCATTCATAGCGTCCTCCAATCATCATTTGCCTTTGCTGTGGAAGGGCGGGGAGAGTTCTTACAGTGAGTCAGCCGTCCCTTTCCTCTCATGCTGGTTACTGAAGTTTATAGGGACAGATTGGACGCGGCTGGTTCAGATCCTCTGTAATATCACACGTGACCAGTAAGTAGCGACATTGTATGAGACAGAGGGCATTGCGACATGCAGGGTATATTGGGGACATGAGCTGCACTTCACTGGAGGAAGAGCTCAGTGCTTGTCTGTCAGTGTTGGAACAGCCTTATTTACACTGGCACTGACCAACCTGCCAGTAGCTGCAGCTACAAGACGTTTCTAAATGCTGAAAATTAAGTGGCTATTTAGGAGGAATTTGCGCCATAGTGTTGCGCTAAAGATGCAGCACCTGTGTGTTTAGTGCATGCTGTCAAACAGTGCAACGCGTGTTGGTGTGTTGCATTGTCCTTTGTTTGAATGGCACCCCAACATGCCTTCTGGTGGGTGGTACTGCAATACCAGGTGTTGTGGTGAAAGAAGCGCATGCATGGCTTTTTTCACCGCAGTGCATTGTATTGCAACGCACTCCAACTAGGAGGTGCATTGGGGTGCCATTCAAATGAATAGCAATGCATCAACGCAGCTAGGGCAACACTATGATGTGAACCCGGCCCAACATTTAAAATAGAACCATGGGGTAACCTTTTTATCCCATAGTTCTCTTTAGGGTCACAGGAGGGCATATACTAGCGTCCTCCCGTGACCCAAAGCTCAGTATATGGCTGGCTATACTGAGAGCGATGCAGCCGGGAGGGATCCTGACGATACTGTCGAGATCCACACAGCTGGCTCTGCCTATCTTTGTCCGCCCCCTTTCTTTGTCCCTTCCTCCAGTCAGCGCTGGAGGGGAGGGGGGAATCCCTGCGGGGAGTGGTGACTGACAGTCACCGCTCACTGTAGGGAGATGGTCGGGAAGCGAGCGATCGACTGTATGTGTTCGCTCACTTCCTGATCAATAGAGCCGACGTGTGACAGTTTCAATGTTACACTTCGGCTCTAACTATGAGGATGAGTGTAAATCACACACCTCATAGTTCTCCTATAAAAGGTTTGTTTAATGTGTTGTATGTTACTAGTATTGACATCAAAGGACTTCTGGCACACCAAAACATCCCCAATATTGGATATGTGCAGCTTGCTCCCGTGATGGACTACTATCTCGCATTTGGTTTCCTAATATGTATTGAGATTGTAGTCCATCACGGAAATGAGCTTGGAGCGGTGGCTACTTTACAACACACACACAAGGACCATGGAGAACAAAAGTAGCCACCCTCCAGAAGGAAGGACAGTGTCCGCACCAATTCAGAGATGATTGGAGGATCTACTGCCGAGTGATACACAAATAACATACATTTTTGTTAAAGGAGAACTATGAGGTGAGTGCTTTTCACTCAGCCTCATAATCTGAGCTGACCTGTGACAATGAGACTGTCACAGGTCAGTTCAGTAGATCGGGAAGTGAGCGAACACATACCGGCGCTCGCTCACTTCTCGATCCTGTCACTGCAGAGAGCTGTGACAGGGTAGGGACTGGATTCCCCCCTCCGATCCTCCAGCGCTGACTGGCGAAACGGATGGGGGAGGGGCGGGTACAGCTGGCTCTGCCTCTTGATAGGCAGAGACAGCTGTCACTCACGCAGGTGGGCGGATCCAGACATAATTGTCGGGATCCGTTCTGGCTGCGGTGTCTCAGTATACCGCGAGCTGCAGCTCGTGGTATACTGAGCTTAGTGTGACAGGAGGACGCTAGTTTGTGTCCTCCCGTTACCCTTCGGAGAACTATGGGGAAAAGCCCTAACCCCATAGTTCTCCTTTTTAAGGTACTTGAATGTATTTTAAAAATGTAGTTCCTGAGTTTAGTGTCACTTTAAAGTTCCGCACTCCTATATTAACTAAATAGTAAAAGAAGCTGCAAGCACTGAAATGAGTCAATGTTCAACGTGAAAAATGCATATAAAACGCTGTGCTCTTTCCTAAGCCTGGGTTCACACCTGGGCGTTCCAAATACGAGCGTTTAATGCTCGTTTTTTCAGCACGTTTCTAAACACGTTTTTTTTTTCACTGAAACGTGCGTTCGACGCTCGTTTTTTAACCTCCCTGGCGGTATGATTCCCCCCCCCCCTTTTTTCTCTCTATCTTTTTTCGTTTGTTAAACGTTTTAAACTTCCCGCCCAGTATCGCCCTCCCCTGCGCAAGGGACGTAACCCGGAAGACGGCAGCGGCCAGAGGACACAGCGGGGATCACGAACAAGGTAAGACCTACGCTGTATTCCCGAGTGTGGCTCCGGGGGTACCCCTTTGTTAACCCCGAGCCACACTCGGGAACAACAATGGATACGCCCTGCAATTGGCCCCCACGCACGAAAAATAAGCTCAAGTACTTTTTCGCGCATAGGACGTTTTTCAGCGCGACAAATCGCACTGAAATATGCCCAGGGGGGAACCATGCCCATAGGGATTAATAGGATTTCACTTCCAGAGCGTTTTATAGCGCTTCGATCAGCCCCGAAAATGCCCAGGTGTGAACCCAGCCTAACAAACAATAACAAAATATTATTCAGTGTTTAACATTCATGTAAAATGCAGAATCTATATGAAGAAATAAAATGAAAGTCTGCGATACATTTGTCTACAAAATATTGAAATCTTCTATAAACGACTCGGTGCTTGTGATAAACAATACACAAGATGTGCTTCAAACCAGCGATTGCCACTGAAAATCCTCACCCGCATGGAGGAGGGCTCACCTTTGCTGTTGGGCCGGTTGTCTTCAGCAGTTTCAAAGTCCTAAGTTATAGCTGGAAATATTTCTTCTGTTAACAGTTTTGTGTTCTTCTTATGTGAGCTCTGTTAATGATTGTTGTATGCGCAGTTGGTATATAGAGATCATGTGAATCTCAGATGTCTGGTTTCATGGTAGAATAGCCCTAAGTTAGATTCGGTAGTCTTGTATTACAAGTATGTGAACGTCATGAGTAAAAGAGATTTCCATGCAGTCTGGCTGAACTTGGATGAGTACACAAGGTACACAAGGTTGTGTAGATTTTAGTAACCTTTATTACCCTATTGCTGATGCAAGCATATTTTGCCTCCTATAAAGTTGTTTGTACGGAGGGTTGGTCAGAAGATTTGACTACAAGACAATGGTAAGAGTAATATGTACAAATGCTTTTCTGATGCTTTCCTGTGCAGCTCTGAGATTTGGAACGGGGTTGAACATGTGGGAAGGGGAAGGTGGCTTGCTTTACATCAGGAGGCTAGGCTCACACACACACAGGGGCCATAAATATACAGCTATACAAGATGTACGGCTGCAGCCTTTAGGGCCTGTTCACACGACGTCCGTTTTCTGTGCTGACCTGATCCGTACGCACTAAAAATGCATCCCAATGTATCCCTATGTGTTTTATGGGCTACAGTTCTCACGTGCGCAGTCCGTTCAGGTTACGACAGAAAAATACTGCATGTCACATTTTGTACGGTCCGGAAACGCAAAACGCGTCAAACGCACTGCACTGCAGTTTACATACTGGCAGTCCCACTACAGCAGTCCCATTACTGGAACGCATCAAAAACGCGGCAAAACACATAGCACCGCGTCTGTAGATCCGGACCTGATCAGGACCTGAAACTCCTGTGAACAGGCCCAAAGTGCCCATAATAATCATTGGCTGTAAGTGTTGTATGTGGGCTTACGCTGCTATTTGTATAAACGTGCACATGTGCAAAGCCATATGCCCTTGGGTACAGACTGTCTGCATGCAGGATTGTACACCCATACGTACATTACAGGTGTTTTTCTATGCCCAGGATACACAGCTGCAGTGTGCAGCCACCCAAAGTAATGAACGGCTATAGGTGGCTGTATGTTGGTTTACACCGCTAGTCACATAATCCTTTTACACAGCCTCCTACAAGTATTCATTGTTAAGGATGGCAGTACACTGAAGCAGTATATCCTGGTCATGGAATTACACCCCCAAACGCCTGTGTGTGTATGAGGCCTACAGTGAAACTTCGGGTAAATACCCAGTTGAATTACATATGGTCCAGGGGTGTGGAAATTTAAAAAACAACTACTTGTCCAAGGACTAAAGCGGGGGCCTGATCTACTTGTCCCTCATGAAAATCTACTTGTCCTGATACAAAAAAAAGAAAAAAAATGTAACCATAACCGTATTTAGCATTGCCAAGAAGAGCTTCTCCGTCGGATGACTGCGCTGACCAAAGAGTGCTTGAATTTTGAGAGCGAAATTCAGATTACAATGGCACGTTCTGCCAGTCAGCGCTGGAGGATCGGAGCGGGGTGGGGGGAATCCAGACCCTCCCCTGTCACGGCTCTCTGCAGTGACAGGATCGAGAAGTGAGCGAGCGCTGGTATGTGTTTGCTCACCTCCCGATCTACTGAGCCGACCTGTGACAGTCTCATTGTCACAGGTCGGCTAGAACTATGAGGATGAGTGAAAATCACTCCACTCATAGTTCTCCTTTTAATGAAGTAATTCAGCTTCCTGTGCCATCTCTCTGCTCCCAGCCTACTCACTGGATTGTGATTCAGTATCATCACACCTGTCCAGTGAAGAGCTGACCCAGGAGGAAGTAATCTTAACCCCTTCGTGACTGACGACGTACAGTGTACGTCGCCAGCATCGGGGCTGTTTAAAATTCTTGGCATTCAGAAAATATATAATGTTGGGGGTTTTTAAGTAATTTTCCAGCCTAAAATGTGGAATATAACATGGGTACAAAAAATGAAAAAAAGGCCTCAGTCATGAAGGGGTTAAACCAGAAAGTGTTGCTGACCAAAATAAAAAAAATCCTTGGCAGGTAAAATCATAAATATAAGTTTCGATGTTTGGAACTTAAGCCAGTCTCCCATACGACATCACTCAAAACCCCCTCCCCCCACCTGCAGAACAACGGTGAAATGATAATTCAGTCTAAGGCCCCATTCACACACGAATCGGCCTGCACGTACAGCTCCGTACTGCGTGCGGGGCCGTACCAAGTAGCTGCCGGGAAGGAAAGGTGCTACGTGTGATTAGAACGCAGCCCCTGTCCTTCTCTATTGGGCTAAGCGGCCGTACGCCGCCCTACGCTCACCT